TGGAGGCAGCTTCCCCTCACGCCGGCGACACAACCACCACGACTCCTACATTCCGACGCACGCGTCTTGCTATGCTTCCTTTTCGTACCCACCCACGGCAGCACAACCAAAGCACACCACAGACTGTACACCACGACGTTACCAATCACGCTGCACACCCTAGCGACGACGGTGGCACCCCAGACTGCAAGAGACTCTACTCACTGCCATTCGAACCTCGACACCCTCTTCGCGCCGCATTACTATACAGCGACCACCCCGAGCTCACCTTCGACTTCCATCCTCAGAGCCTTAACGAGACATCAGAGTACGTATTGCGGCACTTCCCACCTCGACCTTTACACAGCGACTTCGACATCCACCTCTACACAGACGGCTCCAAGCATCCACGTCAGCCAGACAATGACGCATGGTCAGTTACCTTGGTCGGGGAGGACAAGGACGGCTTCTGCTTCCTCGGCTCGATGGTGGGACGACACTACGACAGCACTCGTATAGCAGCCTCGCTCGCCGCCTCTCAGGACACTACCTCTACGACAGTAGAGATCACGGCACTCATCTGGGCCATCGCTTGGACACTCTTCGCCAGGCTCGACAGGACGGTCACCATCTACTCCGACTCCCTTACCGCGATCCAGTTGGCAGCGCGACAGGCCTTCTCCGACAGGGACACAGAGCTCGTCAACCTTATGTGCATACTATATGACTTGGCCGCCGACACCATCAGGCTCGAGCACGTCCACGCCCACGAGATGCACCCGTGGAACGAGATAGCCGACACAGCTGCCAACCACGCCAGGCTCGTCGCAGTTGGGAACCCGCAGCAGTCATGGGCCGACATCTTCGACAATGCCTCGCAGCGCAACTGGGAGTTCCTACTTGACGCGGACGAGCACACAGTCAATGCCTACCCGAGCATGGAGTACGACAAACTCACAGCACCAGCCGTCCCCACCACCGCCCAACCAGCCCACTTCCACCGCGAGCCCGACACCAAGACGCAACACGCCCACATCGACCTCAACGTCACGACCTTCAACATACAGTCTGGACGTGAGCCACGACAAGGATGCAAGCATCGCCAACGGAAGATTATGAAGTTAAAGACCATCATGGCCTGCTTGTACAGCGACAACCACCACCTCATCGGCATCCAAGAGGCGCGGACGGCATGGGGCGCCCGACAGGGAGCCGACATCAACTGCGCCAATGCTAACCAGTACCACGTCATCTCGGGAGGGCACCACAACTATAACTTCGGCTGCGAGCTCCACATCCTCCTCAGCAAGCCATACGGCAAGGCAAAGCAAAAGAACCTATTCTTCAAGACGGACCACTTCATCGTCGCCTTCCGCGACCCGCGAGCCTTGATCGTGAAATGCGTCGCACCTCACTTCGAGCACGTCATCTGCGTCGCCCACGCCCCTCACTCCAAGGCCCGAGATGAAAACCGCCAAGGCTTCTGGTCCATGCTTCAGGCCCAGATCAGGAAGTTCAAGGTCTCCCTGCTCTTAATCGACGCCAACGGACGCACGGGATCAATACCAAGTACCGCCATAGGCAACGCTGGGCATAGCCAGGAGGAAGACGTCAACGGCCAGCTCTTCCACGAGACCCTCCTCTCTTGCGACCTCTCGGCGGTGAACACGTTCCACTGCGACGGGGGACCTCAGCACACATGGGTCTCCACTACTGGCACACACCGACTGGACTACATCGCCGTCCCGACCTGCAATATCGACACGGTCACCACATGCAGCGTCCTACTGGGTATCGACAACTCCACCGACAGCGAGACAAAAGACGACCACTTTCCGCTTACAGCCAACATACAGTACTACGTTACATCGGTGGTCTCACCAGGTCAACCACGCCTCGACCACAACAAGCTACGAGACCCACTGAGATGCCAGGAGTTTGCCGAGAAGCTCAAGCAAGTCCAGCACCCTACATGGGACACCAACGTCAACGACCACCTCACGGAGATCACCACCAAGATCGTTGAAGCAGCTCATCAGACATTCCGTACCAGCGGCACCAGTATCAAGAAGCCTTACATCACAGTGCGCTCCTTCACCTTGTTGCGCGTGAGGCGGACTCTGCTGAAGACCACCCGCATCGTCAAGACCAGCGGGATGTCATCAACGACGGCATCGCTGCGACTCAAGTACACCATCAACCTCTTCAGGAAGGACGCCATCTTAGAGGACCCTACCAACGTGTGCTACCTGCTCGACATCCCAGAGTACGTCAAGCTCGTCACCTTGGCCATCCACGTGCCGCTCACGCCGCAAGGTTACCAGCAATTCTACTACGCCTGCCTCGACTTCACCAAGGCCACCGCACGGACCTTGCATCGATGGATCAGCGACGATCGCGACAGCTTCCTCAACAATACCGCAGAGCAGATGACGGCATCCTTCCACGCCAATACACCTCAAGACGAATGGAGAATGGCCAAGCGCTTACTGGCTTTTGCTGGAATGAGAGCCAAACGCCAACCTACGCCCATCATCCGACACACAGCGGACGGAGAACCACTCCTGACGAAGAAGGACATCGCCAACCACGCCCTCGACTATTACGGCAAAATCGAGAACGCTATTCAAGCGAGCGCGGCCCAAGTGGCTTCTGACTACAACGCTCGCACTTCAGCATCACCACCGACGCCCAGCCTCGACAACATCATCACGCTCTCAAAAACGACGAGCATTCTCGCCGCGGCCAAGAGAGGCAGACGGGGCGGCCCAGATCAGCTCACCGACGACATGTCAAAGGCAGCTCCACGCGAGATGGCGCGCCTCCTCCATCCAGTTCTAGTCAAAGCTCAAGTCCAATCCAAGGAGCCGATCGCTTTTAAAGGCGGCTGGTCCACGCACTTTCACAAAGGCTCGGGCTCACTGGACGTGCAGAAGAACTACCGCGGCATCCTGCTCAACAATACCATCGGAAAGGTCCACAGCTCCTTCCTCCGCCAGCTCATGAAAGGGATACTTCCAGAACTTCTCGAAAGCACACAATGCGGAGCAAGACCCAACATGTCGACCGACTTCGTCACGCACACGACGCTCTCCTTCATTGGTGACATACAGCACAGAGGAATGTCAGGCAGCATCATCTTCCTGGACCTCCGAGAAGCCTTTCACTCCGTAATCCGCGAGTTCTGCATGACACTACCAACTACGACAGACGAACTCAACGACCTGATCGCCAACATCGACCTCCCCGACTTCATGAGGGCATCCCTACGCCAACGACTCAGCTCACCCGCCACCATTGACGACACCATCGACGACCAGCATCTTTGCGCAATGATCGCAGACCACCATACGAGCAACTGGATGACCTCAAGGACCGCCACCCACTACCAGCTCCCGCGGACGAGCACAAGGCCTGGAGTGCCATACTCCGACATTGCCTTCAACACGCACTTCGCCCTGATGCTTCGCGCCATTCAGGAAGAGATCGACTCCGCAGACGACCACTGCGGCGGACATTGCATCCGAGCCCATCGCAACCCCTTGTTCTCGCCGACGCCACATGAAGACATTATGCTGACCAACATGTCATTCGTCGACGACCTGACTCACTACACCTCAACGCCCATGCCGCAGGACCTTCTAGCAGCGACAACATCCACAGCAAGGTGCATATGCAGAGCAGCCTACTCCCACGGCCTCCGACCACATCCGACGAAGACAAAGGCGATCCTCATGCACTATGGCAAAGGGGCAAAGACTGTGCGCCAAGACATCACCAGGAACAACATTACGAGTATCGACCTCACAGACCTCGGCATCAGCATCGGCATCACCAATCAAGAGAAGGCATTGGGCACAATCATAACGGCTACTGGAGCAATGGGCCCCGAGGTTCGACTTCGCATTAACCGCACACTCGGATCATCGGTTCCTATGCAGAAGCAGATCCTCAAGCGCAAGAACGTTACACAGAAAGCCAAACAGAAGTTCGTGCACGCGTTGTCAACGTCCTCACTCACCTTCAACCACCACGTATGGAACAAGCTCAATGTTAAGGACATGCAGATGATCGACGCGCGCTTCCAGGGCCCCTACCGACTCGCCGCCAACCTTCCCAAATCCAACACACCACAGCATCACCTCACCACAGCTGATGTAGTTGCCACCACTGGGATACCCGAGTTCAAGACCCACCAGGCTGCAGCCAGGCTCCGCTACCTACCTCGACTCCTACGGCATGCTCCCGCCCCCCTCCTTGCCCTACTCGACTCCCAGAACGCTCGGCAAGGCACATGGGCTAACGCCCTCCGCACCGACTTCGATTTCCTCCGCCTGCACCTACGTGACAAGCGATGGCCCTCCTCCGACCACAGCGATGCCAGCATCATCCAATGGGCCAGAGCCTCACCCAACGACTTCCAGGGATGCGTCAAGACCGCAGTACAGGCGTATGTCCACCACACGACCAGATGCAGCAGAAACGACGCCCTACGACGACAGCTTGGCGGGCAAGACGACACACCACACCACCACCAACGGTTCATATGCTACGAATGCGGCATTACCACCTGCACCAAAAAAGGCATGGCTGTACACATGGGACGAGAACACAAAGACCACAGCCACCCCCTCCACTGGGCTACGGGGACAGCCTGCCGATGCTGCGCGACCGAGTTCCACAGCTACGCTAGGCTCATCAAGCACCTACGGACCACTTCCAGATGTAGCCGCTCGTGGTATGCATGGCACGCAAGCTTTGAGGAGCCACTCACCGACGCGCAACTACTGGCCAACAACGAGCGGTACCGCCAGGCCATCACCGAGAACCGACTGAGCGGTCGACCCGACTACTTTAGCGACAAACCAGCCCACAAGACCGTCGTCGACCTGATCCCACGACTCGACCACTCTCCGACGCCCACCCATGCATACCCTCAGCTACCGCCCACTCCAGACCACCCAGCCTCAGTAGTGACAGCGACCGCAGCCCACAGCCCACCCATCGCACCACCTACCACATTACTCCACATCATCTCCGACACGACCCTCCAACACCAGCCCGACCTCGACCCCACGACGCCGCGGTACAACGACGACCACATCGCGGACTCTATCTACCTCTTCACCTCCGACCAACAATATACCGAGCAGCCAGACAGCATTGCCTACTTCACACAGGCTCAGATCGACCAAGGCTACATCGCAGCGGTATCCATACAACTGCCCACCATCACATGGCAGGATGACCCTCACGACCCAGAAAGTAATGCCGCCTACCAATGCAGGACCCTACGATGGCCTTGGGGACGCCCAGACCTACAACCTCGATGGGCTACGACTATTGAACGACACAACCAGACGCTTAGGGCCCTTATCAAGACAATGAACATCTGCTACAACAACAACATCGATTGCACGGTGATTAGGCCGCTGAATAACGCTCAACACGGAGAATACATCATCGACTCCATACCCGAGCTCAACCTAATGATCGAGAAAATGGGCTCGGGACTGCACCAAA